CCCGAGGGTGAAGGTCCTATATGTAAAACAGAGGTTCGTTAAGGCGGAGGGGAAAGAGGGTAAGAATAGGGAAAGGTTGATGGGGGATGTGCGGAGATGGTGTCCGGAAAAGAATTACTCGAATGTGAGGATAAGCTAAGGTTATTGTTATTGCTTGAGAGGCACAAAACTTAGGTGGGGCGGTTGGTGCGATGAGTAAGGAACCGAAACCATACAGGAGTAATCGGTCCTAACCCCTTGTATGATTGAGGGAATGAAATGGACGATGGGTCAATGAAGGATCACATTAACTGCATATGTGTTTATGTATCCGAATGGCAGTATGGTGATGTGGAAAACCAACTGTTAAGAGTAAGCTGATATGTGACGAAATTTACTGACGGAAGCATAGGCAAATATTGTTGCGAGTGTGCTGTATAATTAGGGGGTGGTGGAAGGGAAGTGTAAACCTTATTGAATGCTAACAAACAACGCCTTTGTTGGTATTAATGACTAAGGAGGGGGTAATGTAATTGTGATAGTGTATATAGACAATGTTTAAGGCATTTGTAAGTTGGTAGGCAGATACTAACATTGTTTGAAAGAAAACTGTCTTAGAATAAATTATACTTCAAAGATTTTGTAATTGGTAGAGTTTTTCAAATCAAGTATATGGTATATAGGGGAAAAGAGTTTTAGATGCTATCTATGTTAGGGAGAAAGGGTGTGCCCAAATATGTGGCGGCAGCAAGGTTTCCTCATCCTGCTATTGCAGTTTTTGAGTGCGTGTAATCAGAGTTATAGTTTTAGTGTTCTCTAGCTTGGACAGATTATGTGAGGTTGTATTTGTGGAAATTTTGGTTGTGTCATATGTTGGACAACATTATGACGGTTGTGTACATTTGTGTATTATGTAAGTTTTTTAAATAAAATATGAAAATAAATTAGTTTTGGATAGTGCATATACACAATAATTAAGACATTTGTTGTTGTATCAAATACTCAAATGGTTGGGCAAAAACTTCTTAGAAATAACATGTTACTTAATGATATTAGTTATATAGATTAGCATATCTGTATATATATATTGGGGAAAAGTGTTTTTTTAGTTGCAAACTAAGGTTAAGGGGAAGGTGGTAGGTGCCCCTAACTGTGAGGCACCATGGTCCTCATCCTGCACTTTTGCAGTTTTGAGGGAGTGTTATCAGAGTGTCGGGTTTAGTGTTCCTTGGATTGGTAAATATGTGTTGAGGTTGTAATTGTGAAAGTTTTAATTAGTCCATATGTTGCATCAAACATTTTTATGTTTTAGTACATTCGTGTTTCTGTAATTTTTTTAATAAAATATAAAAAAATCCAGATATGTTAAAACTAAGTGATTTTTATCACTTTCCTCAAGCTCATCATTAACCTCAAAATATTATTATGAATCTTTGATAAATTAGACACATTGCAACTCTCATGGGTATCTTTATTGAGTAAACGTTTCGCCACACACAGTGCTTCATCAGTCCATACAAAGAGAATCTTGAAACAGAGGAGAATGTGTAATCAGTCCCTCAACCTTGAGTCTAGTGGTCAGACCATCAATTCTTGAATAGAAAACGGGCATACGTGCTGAAATGGAGCTGATGGACTGACCACATCGACTCAAGTGAGGACTGATTACCTCATTCCTCCTCCTGTTTTTTCAAGATTCTCCTTTGTATGGACTGATGAAGCCACCGTGTGGCGAAACGTTCCTCAATAAAGATACCCAAGAGTTGCACATGTGTCTAATTTATCAACATGTCGTTCTCTGAACCATTCATCTACAAATGTGAATCTTTGTTGGCAAGAACCAAGTCAAGCAGATTTTTTTCCTCTATTGGTTCTGTCACAACCTGTTCTAAAAAGCAATCCTGAACCTCAAGAAAGTCACTAGACTCAAGAATTTCCTGCCATAAGTTAAAAATCTCCCATTAACACAACATTTTCATATCTTGATGCCTTAGGAATTTCGTCCCATAACAGCTTACTGCCCTCCCTATCAAGGTTTGGGAGCCTATAAATCACACCAAAAATTAATTTGTCACGTCCCTCGAAAAACTGTAGCCAAACAGATTCTGTTTTTCGAGTTTCTAATCTTGTATAATGTCTAAGACAATTTAAAAAATTTTCTCTGACATACATCGCCACTCCACCACCCTTCCAAAAAACACCTAGTATAACCAAAACACTAAATCCTATAACCAGTACACTACCTCATATAGCCAATACACCATCACATGGAACAAAAATCCCGTAAGACGATAGAAATATAGGTAGTGAAAAGAAATAATAGTAGAAGTAATAGCAGCACAAACAGAAATAGTAGTAGTAACTATAGTAGTAGTAAATGTGGAGTAGTAATAGTGGTAGATGTAGTCTAATGAACAAGAACTTGCAGAGATAGTTACACATAAACATTGTTCACCAGCACTCGGAAGTGTCGACCTGCAGAGATAGTTACACATAAACATTGTTCACCAGTGCTCGGAAGTGTCGACCTGAAAGAGATAGTTACACAGAACATTTTTCACCACACCCGGAAGTGCCCGACCTGCCGAGATAGTTACACGTGAACATTGTTCATTAGCACCCGGAAGTGTCGACCTGCAGAGATAGTTACACGTGAACATTGTTCACCAGCACTCGGAAGTGTCGACCTGCAGAGATAGTTACACATGAACATTGTTCACCAGCAACCCGGAAGTGTCGACCTGCCGAGATAGTTACACGTGAACATTGTTCATTAGCACCCGGAAGTGTCGACCTGCAGAGATAGTTACACGTGAACATTGTTCACCAGCACTCGGAAGTGTCGACCTGCAGAGATAGTTGCATGTGAACATTGATCCCCAAAGCACCCGAAGTGTCCGACCTGCAGAGATAGTTACACGTGAACATTGTTCACCAGCACCCGGAAGTGTCGACCTGCAGAGATAGTTACACGGAACATTGTTCACCCACACTCGGAAGTGTCGACCTCAAGATATTTTAACACAAACCCATTCTTCACCACACCTCGAAAGTGTCGACCTGCAGAGATAGTTACACATGAACATTCTTCACCAGCACTCGAAAGTGTCGACCTGCAGAGATAGTTAACCACATGAACATTCTTCACCAGCACTCGAAAGTGCCCGACCGCAGAGATAGTTACACATGAACATTCTTCACCAGCACTCGAAAGTGTCGACCTGCAGAGATAGTTACACGTGAACATTGTTCACCAGCACCCGGAAGTGTCGACCCGCAGAGATAGTTACACGTGAACATTGTTCACCAGCACTCGGAAGTGTCGACCTGAAGAGATAGTTACACGTGAACATTGTTCACTAACACCCGGAAGTGTCGACCTGCAGAGATAGTTACACGTGAACTTTGTTTACTAGCACCCGGAAGTGTCGACCTGCAGAGATAGTTACACATGAACATTGTTGATCAGCACTCGCAAGTGTCGACCTGCAGAGATAGTTACACATGAACATTGTTCACCAACACCCGGAAGTGTCGACCTGCAGAGAGAGTTACATATGAACATTGTTCACCAGCACTCGGAAGTGTCGACCTGCAGAGATAGTTACACATGAACATTGTTACATTGTTCACCAGCACCCGAAGTGTCGACCTGCAGAGATAGTTACACGTGAACATTGTTCACGAGCACCCGGAAGTATCGACCTGCAGAGATAGTTACACGTGAACATTGTTTACTAGTACCCGTAAGTGTCGACCTGCAGAGATAGTTACACGTGAACATTGTTCACCAGCACCCGGAAGTGTCGACCTGCAGAGATAGTTACACGTGAACATTGTTCACCAGCACCCGGAAGTGTCGACCTGCAAAGGTAGTTACACATGAACATTGTTCACCAGCACTCGGAACTGTCGACCTGCGGAGATAGTTACACATGAACATTGTTACATTGTTCACCAGCACCCGGAAGTGTCGACCTGCAGAGATAGTTACACACATGAACATTGTTACATTGTTCACCAGCACCCGGAAGTGTCGACCTGCAGAGATAGTTACACATGAACATTGTTACATTGTTCACTAGCACCCGGAAGTATCGACCTGCAGAATAGCAAACACATGAACATTTTTTCACCAAACCCGGAAGTGTCGACCTGCAGAGATAGTTACACATGAACATTGTTCACCAGCACCCGGAAGTGTCGACCTGCAGAGATAGTTACACATGAACATTGTTCACCAGCACTCGGAAGTGTCGACCTGCAGAGATAGTTACACATGAACATTGTTCACCAGCACTCGGAAGTGTCGAATTGCAGAGATAGTTACACATGAACATTGTTCACCAGCACCCGGAAGTGTCGACCTGCCGTGATAGTTACACGTGAACATTGTTCACCAACACCCGGAAGTGTCGACCTGCATAGATAGTTACACATGAACATTGTTCACTAGCACCCGGAATTGTCGACCTGCAGAGAGAGTTACACATGAACATTGTTCACCAGCACTCGGAAGTGTCGACCTGCAGAGATAGTTACACATGAACATTGTTCACGAGCACTCGGAAGTGTCGACCTGCAGAGATAGTTACACATGAACATTGTTACATTGTTCACCAACACCCGGAAGTGTCCGACCGCAGAGATAGTTACACGTGAACATTGTTCACGAGCACCCGGAAGTATCGACCTGCAGAGATAGTTACACGTGAACATTGTTCACTAGCACCCGGAAGTGTCGACCTGCAGAGATAGTTACACGTGAACATTGTTCACCAGCACCCGGAAGTTTCGACCTGCCGAGATAGTTACACGTGAACATTGTTCACCAGCACCCGGAAGTGTCGACCTGCAGAGGGAGTTACACATGAACATTGTTCACCAGCACTCGGAAGTGTCGACCTGCAAAGGTAGTTACACATGAACATTGTTCACCAGCACTCGGAAGTGTCGACCTGCAGAGATAGTTACACATGAACATTGTTCACCAGCACTCGGAAGTGTCGACCTGCAGAGATAGTTACACATGAACATTGTTCACCAGCACCCGGAAGTGTCGACCTGCAGAGATAGTTACACATGAACATTGTTCACCAGCACCCGGAAGTGTCGACCTGCAGAGATAGTTACACATGAACATTGTTCACCAGCACCCGGAAGTGTCGACCTGCAGAGATAGTTACACACGAACATTGTTCACCAGCACCCGGAAGTGTCGACCTGCAGAGATAGTTACACATGAACATTGTTCACCAGCACCCGGAAGTGTCGACCTGCAGAGATAGTTACACATGAACATTGTTCACCAGCACCCGGAAGTGTCGACACACAGATGTAGTTATAACAACATTTAAGTGTTAAAAACATTTAGAAATATTGTATAAACAAACTAACTTACAAATTAGAAAATTAACAAGAAGACATTTTATCTCTTGTGTTTGGATTAATTATGATTAATTACAGCAGACTTTCTGCAGTCATGGTAATATTTACACTCATGGTAGTATTAACAGCCATGGTAGTTACACTCATGGTAGTATTAACAGCAATGGTAGTTACAGCCATGGTAGTTACACTCATGGTAGTATTAACAGCCATGGTAGTATTAACAGCCATTGTTGTATTAACAGTCATGGGAATATTACAGCATGGTAGTATTAACTGCCATGGTAGTTACAGCAATGGTAGTTACACTCATTGTAGTTACAGTCAAGGTATTATTAACAGCCATGGTTGTTACAGCCATGGTAGTTACACTCATGGTAGTATTAACAGCCATGGTAGTATTAACAGCCATTGTAGTATTAACAGTCATGGTAATATTTACAGTCATGGTAGTATTAACAGCCATGGTTGTTACAGCCATGGTAGTTACACTCATGGTAGTATTAACAGCCATAGTAGTTACAGCCATGGTAGTTACAGTCATGGTAGTATTAACAGCCATGGTAGTATTAACAGCCATGGTAGTATTAACAGCCATGGTAGTATTAACAGCCATGATAGTATTAACAGCAATGGTAATATTTACAGTCGTGGTAGTATTAATAGTCATGGTAGCTACAGCCATGGTAGTTACAGTCATGGTAGTATTAACAGCCATGGTAGTATTAACAGCTAGGTAGTATTAACAGCATGGTAGTATTAACAGCCATGATAGTATTAACGCCATGGTAGTATTAACAGCCATGATAGTATTAACAGCCATGGTAATATTTACAGTCATGGTAGTATTAACAGTTATGGTAGATACAGCCATGGTAGTTACAGTTATGGTAATATTTACAGTCATGGTATTATTAACTGACATGGTAGATACAGCCATGATAGTATTAACAGCCATGGTAGCATTAAAAGCCATGGTAGTATTAACAGCCATGGTAGCATTAAAAGCCATGGTAGTATTAACAGCCATGGTAGCATTAAAAGCCATGGTAGTATTAACAGCCATGGCAGTATTGACAGTCATGGTAGTATATAAAGCCATGGTAGTATATAAAGCCATGGTAGTATATAAAACCATTGTAGTATTGGCAGCCATGGTAGTATTAACAGCCATGGTAGTTTGTACAGCCATGGTAATATTAACAGCCATTGTAGTATTTAGTCATGGTAGTATTAACAGCCATGGTAGTACTTGCAGCCATGTTAGTATTTATAACCATGGTAGTATTTATACAGCCATGGTAGCATTTACAGCCATGGAAGTATCTATACAGCCAAAGTAGTATTAACAGCAATTGTAGTATTTACAGCCCTGGTAGTATTTATACAGGCATGGTAGTATTAACAGTCATGGTAGTATTTACATCCATGGTAGAATTTACAGCCATGGTAGTATTAGCAGACATGGTAGTATTTAGCTATGGTAGTATTTAGCCATGGTATTGTAGCTCTCTGGAAGAGTACAGGATCGGAGTGGGAGTGCACTGGGAGAGTACAGAATGGGTGTGGGAGTTCTCTGGGAGGGTACATGGGAGTGGGAGTACTCTTGAAGAGTACGTGGGAGTAGGAGTGCTCTGGGAAACTATAGGACGGGTGTGGGAGTGTTCTGGGAGAGTATAGGATGGGTGTGCGAGTGCTCTGGGAGAGCATAGGATGGGTGTGGGAATGCTCTGGGAGAGTATAGGATGGGAGTGGGAGTGTTCTGGGAGAGTATAGGATGGGTGTGGAAGTGCTCTGGGAGAGTACATGGTAGTGGGAGCGCTCTGGGAGAGTATAGGATGGGAGTGGGAGAGCTCTGGGAGAGTACAGGATGGGTGTGGAATTGCTCTGGGAGAGTACATGGGATTGAGAGTGCTCTGGGAAAGTACACGTAGAGTACATGTACCTGTGGAGGATCCAAAATAAGGGAACTGAGAGTCTGACCGACTATCGAAAAGATAACAGATATTTGACAACTCTGAGCAACATCTTAGCGAAGATGACACACAAGTCGGACGACACAGCAAAAGCTGACAGTAAACATGGAATCACTAACATATTTGATAGAGGTATTTCACGATAAACCATCAGAGGGGGAGGTGGGGGTGATAATGTGGAGAATACTCAGCAGAAATCATGATTAGTTTTAACTTTGTTCATAGTTTAACCTCTGTCGGTGCAGGCGATTATAATGACTCAGTGCCACTTTATCCTGCGGTCTACCAGCTCATTTACACTTTATCGTGCGGTCTACCAGCTCATTTACATTTTAGCGTGCGGTCTACCAGCTCATTTACACTTTAGCGTGCGGTCTACCATCTCATTTACACTTTAGCGTGCGGTCGTTTATTGCCTTTTTAAAGTCTTACCTAACCTAAACTACCCTTACCTAACCTAACCTAAGCTAACCTAAGCTAACCTATTCTACCCTAACCTAACCATAGCTGGTAGACAGCACGCTAAAGTAGCACCTATGGCTCACTTCATGGCATTGGGTCTAATGAGGTAATATACCGTTATTTGAATCATACTAATCAAGCCTTAAATAACGAGTAACTAAATAGGCTAGTCTAACCTAGAGTAAATACGAATGGTGTCTTCTGAATACTGATCATTAATATAACATAACTTTCGTCTCGTCACTGGAATCAACAAAATCCTGGTTTAGTTCGACGGTGCGGAATCCAACACGGATACTCTTGCTGGAATTTTCAGATTGATTTGTATCGGTCCACATGATGGTCATATTATAAAGTGGCTGAGAACCATAGCCGATGGGCCACCACATCTCTATCTCACCCTGTAAAACCAAAAGCAATTTATTGTTAACTATTTTTACAAAATTAGAGACCTTGAATCACAACTTTCAAAACTCTGGAGGTGAACACTTCTCCAGGTGAGAGACTGACCTCCTCAAAATTACTTCTTCAGTGTTGATGGACTGAGTACATCATTTCTCATTGCTTCTGTTGTTACCTCTATATTCGACTGAAGAAACCTAAGCTGAAGTAGAAAATTTTCGAAAATAATATTTGACAGTTGCACTTTACTGTATATCATTTTTATATATGTACGAATTATAGGGAAATAAGCATGTAAACGCACCAGGTAAAGTGTAGGACTGAAAGCAAGATTGTTGAGGAACCAGCAAGATGCAGGATAAGAAACTGGCTGTATAAAAAAATTCTTGACATTGAAACATATAGATGAACATTATTGTGAAAAAGGTAAGAACTTTTATCGCATTTATGAATTTAGAAAAGTTATGCAATAGAGATGAGTCAGGAAGCAATGTAAAAACGTTGCAAATGTATGAGACAGGCAATAGGTTGTTAAAAACACTAAAGCGTTTCTTGGGGAATAGTGAGGCTGAGTTTAGGGTATTTAAGAGAGACGGAGGGATTATTTTCCATTAAATTTAAGACTGGGATGTGTGATGTCACCATAGTGTTCAACATATTTATAAAAGGGTTTGTAATAGAAGTGAATGAAAAGGAGCGTGATTAAAATATAACGAACTCAATACTAAGTTGGAGTAGTCCCCAGTTATTTATTTGCAGATGACATGGTGCTTTGGGAGATCCTTAGGAAAATGTAAGGATTGGTAGATGAAATTTTGGGGGGGTATTAAAAGAAGGAAGTTAATAAGGACATGAGAAAGAGCACTGTGAAGATCGTATTAAAAAATCTAGCAATGAAAGACTAGAGGGGGGAGGGGGAAGGAAGGAAATAAATGTGTTCAAATAAATTGAGGAGTGAACTTGTCGGCAGATGGGTCAGTAAAAAATGAGATAAAGTATAGAACTGACATGTGGAAGAAATGTTAGAGGTGCACTAAGGCATCTGTGGAAACAAGGAATCTTATCCGTAATTGAGTATAGTGGTACTAACACTGTTTTTATGAGTGTGAATTTTAGGCTTTTAAAAATTGAAGCGACAATGTTGGCCGGAAGCAGTGATTTGAGGAGACATGTGGAAAGAATATAATGCAGGGGAATTAGGATCATGGAGATCAAATGATGTCGGGTTGTCTAGAGTATAATCATGAGGGTTGAGAAGGTGGTTTAGGGTGGTCAGGGCATTTAAAAGAGAAAGGGGCATAACAGAAGACTGAGAAAGCATTTATATCTTTGGGGGACAGAAGAAAGGGTAGGGGGGGGGTCGTCCCAGGGAAAGGGGTTTGGGGGGAGTTATGAGTGCTGAAGGCTGAACATATAACAGGCATGTAGAGCATGTTAGGTCGAAAAAAATAGACAGGTAAGCTTTATGACAACGTGGTGTTGTATTGTAACAAAGTGACGGTTCGAATGGATTCTATTAAAGGGAATAGCCAGACTTGAGTCTTGGAGATGAGCAGTAAAAATACCTGCATTTTTAAAGACAGGGTGAGAATATTGCACTTCCAAGTTTTACGAACGTGAGTCATCTCACTTTTATCAAGAGAGCGATATATAATATATAAATATATATATATATTTTATATATATATATATAATATATATATATATATATATATATAATATATATATATAATGTCGTGCCGAATATGTAAAACTGGTCAATTAGCAAGAACTCATTTAAAATTAAGTCCTTTCTAAAATTTTCTCTTATAAAGTTTAAAGATATATTTTTTTCAAATTTAAAGTAATGTAAAAAAAATTAAATTTTGCACCAAAAGAATCTTAGAAAACTTACCTAACCTTATTATAACAGGAGCAATTTATTTTAGCCTAAATCAACTAAATATATTTTTGATTTGTTTAGAGTAATTTAATACTAAACAAACACAGTGAAATATATTTTTTTCGTTAGGTTCAGACTGATTTTAGCGAAATTATTGCATACACAA